AACTACATCAGTGATAAAAAATCTTGGAAAGTGTATCTTACGCGTTGTTTGAAGCTTAAGAACACTAATGCCTCTGTAGGACGTTGGTTCAACTCCTCGACACTCACATTGAAATGGAAGTTGGAGCTTTTCCTAAAACTTGGGGCATCTTCATGCAAGACCTCATGAGAGGTATTTTTTTTTAAACCATGTACTTGTAAAGTGTCTCCTCATTCCCCTCGTTTTCTAGGGATGATTATGGACATGCTGTGGCCTGAAATTAAGAACGCTATCGAAGAGCTGAGCTATGGGAAGGGAGTCCGCATATCGCGTGCTTGCGGAGTTGACCCCAACGAAATCAGCTTGGATATTGGTCAGCTCGTACAAACTCATTTGACATAATTCCAATTTTATTCAAATACTTCAGGTGAAGGCAGCTTTGCTTTGACTTCCCGATTGGCACTACAGCATCTTGATATGAACAAATGTCTGAAGGACCTGAGAAGTTCGCTGCCCAATACATCTAAAATATTTCAGAAGATAGAGCGATAACGACTGTTACCAACCTTTTGTAACTATTAAATTATTCTTTTTCAATACAGATGTATATCAAATATAGTCCTTTTTTTGAGCAGGAAAGCAAAAACATGGGTTGTTACAGAACCTCATAAGTTTGATTTTTAGCATATCATCTTGACACTTACGTTTGATGTGAGCGATGTGAGTGTGTAACCTTGTTGGAATACTAACCTCTTCAAAAAATCCACATGCCATTTCCTTTAGTTGAGACATTCCTGCTATCTTCTATCTTTTTTCTTCTTAATTTTCCTTTGGGGCGGTTTAAAATGTAAAGCATGGATCCTTGTCCTTAGAGAGCTTTAGACCAGATTCACCACTGATTTTACCTGAATTAAATGAGGTCGCGCATTAACCTCGGCGCTTAACAAGTTTAACCAAACTTTACCTTCCTTAGCTGCAAGGAGGGCATAAACCAAACTGAGGTAGGGTTCCGGCTTATCTTAACACAACTCGTCCCACGGCGGTGGAAACTGGCGCGTACTAAGAGTATAGCATGACAAACATTCGCGCTATCGTTATCACTG